ACGTATATGTATATAAACTTGCATGCGCAGATATTCGTCGATAAATTGTGCATATACATTCATACAATTATGCGCGTACTTATGCGCGTAACTTTTATTCAGTTTCAAATCATTAAAAACCGTTTAATTGTTTCGCCTAGACGGAGAGACAAAAAAAAATGAACTTTTATTTTAGTTTCCATGAAATTAATGTGCTTTTGAAACAAAAAAGATATTTTCAAAATCTTTTTCCGAACTAGAATATCTCATTATCTCGTTGAATCTGAAGCTTTTGAGGATTTGATAAAAGCACTTAATCCATCGTATGCATTATCAAAACTGTGCGCGAAAACGCTATCAGGTTCACTTCTAAATAAAAAGTATGCAGAATGCTCCACTAAATTGAAAGAAAATCTCAAATCATCTAAAAATTTAATGCTCATTAGAGATGGTAGGACAGATATTGGTAGCGATCATATAGTCATTTTTTGTATCAAGACACCAAATACAAAACCGTTTTTCCATGATTCAATCAACACACCGGTATAATTCAAAACGCTGCAGTTGTTGCTGGTACTTTCATTGAAGTAATCGAGATTCTTGGTCCGCAAAAGATCAGAAGCATTATCACTGACAACGCTTCAGTAATGAAAACTGGTTGGAAGTTAATTGAAGAAAAATTTCCACACATCACAATGTATGGCTATGCAACACACGGTATGAATCTTCTCGTAAAGGACATTTTGAGTACTGCAGAAAGTTCAAAGCCCATCAAACAAGCTGAAAAAATAATTGTTTGTAAAAAATCATCACATTGTTAAAGCACGTTTGACGAAAATAAAGAATCGCAGCTAATATTCCTCACTCCCTCACAATGTCTGTTTTGACTCGATGGCTTAGTCAATTTATTCAATAAACGACCTTTGTATGGGAAAGTATGTTTTGATTCAACTTGCGGATGAGAAAAATGCATTTTTGAAAAAAATTCCTTTAAAAACAAATTCCTTCTATAAAAATATCCTTCTAACATCATGTTAAAAGTGAAATGATTGAATTTGTTGGAGAAATGACAACACTGACAGAAAAAAGAAAAGAGACAATTTTTTAATATGAGCGCAAAGAATTATTGGAACATTGTTGGTCGTCAGATATATCCAACAGTCTTTAAAGTAGCAAAATCTATTGTTGAAATGATTTTTTTTGTCAGCAACAGCAGAGAGAACTTGGTCGATTTTTGATTTATTTGTTCAAGCTTGACCAACGAACACGTAAAAAAATTCGTTTTCATATGTACCAATAGTGTTTTGATGGATACAAACGACAAAAATGACTACATTTTAGAGGAAGGAGCAGTACTCAGTGAGTTTGAGTTTGAAGAAATTATAAATGAGCAAATATAATACAATAATAATTTAAACTGTTAAGTTTTGTGATATAGAAAATTGTTAAAAAAATTGAAATAATAATTTGAAATATTTAAAATATTTTTTTTAATTTAAAGGCACCTGCGTTTGATTTAAAAAACATTATCTTCTTTACTTGACAATATTTAAATAATTTCGCTTACCATTCATCAAAATGCGCATACACATGTTGAATGTGTATGCGCATCATAAGCATATTATGCGCATAATTATGCGCATAACTTTTGAATAGTATGGCATATATTCGCCAACATACGCTTAAGTTCCGAACCATAATATAAATAATTTTTAATTTCATCAATATCTATTATTCAAAACAGGATAAATTAGGGGTAAGTTGAAGTTAGGCAAAATAAGTTTGTTCCAGAGATGAGCTGCACAATTGTTGTACAGCTCGTCTGTGGAACAAAATTTATTTTGCTCATTTAGATAATTTTGTTCATTTATATAATTTAGATATCTCGAACAAAATTATTTTACTCATTTAGATAAAATTAATTTAACTAAACTTTGTTACTCTTTTATTCATAGTTATATAAGTAATGGAGTTATTTTCTGGGGTAGTATTGATCAAAGCAAGTTAAAATGTCTCAATCGCCGTCAGAAACATGCGATTCGTTTAATTAATTCTTTGGATCGGTTTGCATCCTCAATACTTTTTAATCAAATGAAAATCCTCGATATATATAAACTAAACGTATATAAAAATTTATCTTTTGTTTATATGTGGAAATATGATATATATTCTTCAATTTTTAAAGACCTTTTTATTTTGAAACCATTAAGCAAGTTTAACATGAGGAATAATTATTATTTAAACGAACCACTCTGTCAAACAAAATTCAATCAATTTTGTATCACTTATTATAAAGTGATACAAAATTGAATTGAATTTTCAATGTCGCGTTTTAGAAACGGCTTGTATCGCGAACTCGAGATGCGGGCGAATATAAGCTATATACAATGTTCTCCAAACAACAATACCTCGACTGTGGAATGTTTTTTTCAGCCTACTAAGTACTTGATTGGTCGTTGAGGTTGCTGTCTCAATTTTTTTAGTTTTAGTCATCTGAGATCATGACGCCAAGGCCTCTTTTGTTCTTGGTAACTGCAAGTTCTATTCGTGATCCGTCATCGCTCCACATTGAATATAGTTGTGCTGACCTTTAGGTTCCACGGCTATGTGCATTACTTTGTATTTTGCCTCGTAGAAAGGCACACGCTAAATTCTGGACCACTCCACGGCTTTGTCTATGTCATCTTGCAAAATTGAACAGTCATTTTCAGATTTGATGATGCCAATAATTTTTCTATCATCTGCATATAATTTAATGTGATGCGCAATGCTGTTTTGAAGATCGTATGAAGATAAAAAGGACAAATAATAATGGTCCTAGAACCGACCTTGTGGTACCCCACTTGATACAAATATCCATTTTGATATATGTCCTTTCATGACTACACATCTGAAAGCCACACTTTGATCCAATTCAACAATGCATCATATATACCAAGTGCCCTAAGTAGCAAGTGTAGCAAGCATCGATGAGGAACTTTATCGAATGCTTTGGCTGAGTCCGTATAAATGACGTCGGCAGCGTAATCCAGGTGAATGGCCTGTGTCAGGATGTCGCAAGTTTTTCGAACATTTTCAAAAAGATTTTTGTAGTCTTCGTATATTTTCTGATCGGCGAATGATTTGTTTTTTAGATATTTTATGTATAATTTCTACTTAGCTTTTGATGATTTTTTAAACCTTTGTTAACCCAGGGAAAATTAATGTTTTTTTTTAATTTATTGTTTTTTCATATAAAGGCAAATTGGCATTATAAACAGATTAAAATGTATTTAAAAGATTATCGCAAATGTTGTTTGCGTTATCACTAAACTCGATATTCTTCCAATGAAGCAATGATAATTGTGTTTTAAATTGCTCAATATTTTTTTAATTATAGTTTTTTGATTTATTGTTTAGAATTTCAATAGTTAAAATTTCATTGTCGCGGTCAGAAACACTTATATCATTCTTAACATAATGTGCAATACTTTTCTTTAGATAAATAAGAACTCCACCGCGTTCATTGTTAATTCTCTCTTGAGAAATTAACACAAAGAAAGTAAGATTAAAATTTTCAGTAGTATTTAAATTATTTTCAGTTATCCAGCTTTCAGAACAAATTATATTAAAAAAATTGTTGATTTCTTGTAACAAATCGAGATGATTTTCATAATTGGGGTTTAGGCTTCTGATATTTATATGAAGAATCCTTAATTGATCAAATTATTGTTTTTTGTATTTTTATTAAAAAATTCTTCTAATTTGTTAGGATAATAATATAAACAATCCGTAATAATGTCATTGAAATAATTTATATCTGGATCTAAGTTTTCATCAGATAAGAAGTGTCTTATTTCTGAAAAATTACAACTAAATGATTTAAAGTTATTTGTTTCAGACATTTCTTAACACTGTATGTTTAAAATAAAATAATTTTTTTTTTTTTTTTTATGATCTCTACAAAAAAAAGAATCAAACTTGAGAATAGCGTATTTTTCTTCATTTCTCAATTTACCTTCATTTCTCAATTTCGCTTCATCCCAGATTATTTACCTTCATTTCTCAATTTCACTTCATCCCAGATTATTTACCTTCATTTCTCAATTTCACTTCATCCCAGATTATTTACCTTCATTTCTCAATTTCACTTCATCCCAGATTATTTACCTTCATTTCTCAATTTCACTTCATCCCAGATTATTTACCTTCATTTCTCAATTTCACTTTATCCCAGATTATTTACCTTCATTTCTCAATTTCACTTCATCCCAGATTATTTACGCTTTTCTAATGTTTCCTTTGCAAATGAATAAATATAAAATGATAGAAGGTATAAGACAAAAAAAAAAAACATTATTGCTTTTGTGTAATCATAATTTATGTAGTAGTGGTAATAAACTTTTCCTGAGAGCCGCGTTTATTATTACCGGCGTTTCGAAGAGGCTCAGCACCAATACCTAGTTAATCCCGTCAGATAAACATCGCTATTTTCCTTATGTTAAAATATTTGAACTAAGTTATATACCTTATGTGGTAAACCAGATTGATCGATGTTTTCTTGTATTTTTTGAAAATTATTTTACAGTTTATTTTAAGTCAAACTGATAACGCTGATTTTTTTTTTTTTATTCTCTAATAAAATATAAAGTATTCTTATAAGAATCTAAACATTATACAAAAATTATTTTAAAAAATCTATATTTTTTTTTAATTTTTTTAAGTTTAACTTTAGAAAATTTAAAAGTGTAAATCTTTAGTAATAACAATTATAACTTGAGATTGAGATAAATATTTTTTAAATATTTTATCAGGTTGTCGCCAGCTACTATGAGATCGTAAGCACTCGTACAAATAAAAAAGATACAAATCAATACAATATTTCTTTATATAGTCGTCTGGTAGACAAATAATTCATAACAATTTCTATTATTAATTTTTAAAGGAAAAAAAAAACAGAGAAATTCACAGCACTTTTTATCATTTACATTTAAAAAAAAGTTTGTTAAAAAAAAAAAAAAGATGAATATAGTTTCGGTGCTTTTGAAACAAATACGCCGAGTTGTAACTGCAAAATTGGTTAAATAATTCATGTAAAGTATGATAATTTATTCTTTACAGACAGTTTAGTTAGACGTCAACGTCCATCATCTACTTCATGAAATATAGTAAATAGCTTATTTATTTTTACTAAAGCTTTCCAAAAGTCAGCTGTTAGTAAATTTTCTTTTAACTAAAAATTAAAAAAAATGTGTAGTATTAAATGTTTCGCTATAGTAGTCGCTGTAGAACTAACAACTTTTTTCATGGGAGTTCTACTGCTATGTCAAAATGTGTATAACATATTAGGGGCTGCACTAATAACATTTGCTTCTATTTTTTTTCTAAGTAACTGCTTATTTTGCAAAGAACTTAGAACGAAAGCAATAAAAACGCAAATTCAAAATGACATTAATTTAGAGTCTTCAAGTATTGACTTAAATGGAGAGGCTGAAGGTACGAACTTTATTAATATACTAACTGTTTTAATTTAATAATATTTTCACTAAGTTAACATTTTTAATCTATTAATGTTTATGAGTTTATATTTTTGAAAAATTATAATTAAATATATATAAAAAAGCAAAAGTTAAGAACTTATTTTTAACTCGTGACAAAAAATTAACTGTATTTAAAAAAAAACTGTTACGAGTTTATTGTTCTTAACTTAATCGGTAGTACTTTTTCATTTAATTCATTAATAAAAAAATTTCGAACTTTCTCTCACTTTTGATAACAAAAAACTCCCAGCGTTTTATTATTGTTAATTAAGCTAACTTTTACATACAAATTCCTTAAAATTTGTGTTTGTAGAAAAATAACGCTTTTACTTAAAACCGTTAACTTTTGTAGTAAATGATATCAAATATTCATGACGCTCAAAAACACTGATATCAATGTTTTTAAAATTTCCGTTGAAGATTTATAGTTAGTGGGTGCTTTTTTTTTACTATTGTGCATACTGGTTTGATGTAAATAAGCTTAATTTTAATTAACAAAAGTTAATGATAGACAGGATCTTTCAGAGACTTTTCATTAAAAGTCCCTGAAAAGACATTAAAGTAATTACAGCCAAAGAATGCAATTTTTTCAACTTAAAGGTGGATTTTCACTTACAAGAAATTTTTTCGCGGAACGGATAGGAAAAGCAAAATCATGTAACAAAAACATTTTAGATGCGCAATTTTTAATCGGATGATTTTGCTTTTCTTTTCTGTTCCGCGAAAATTTTGTTTCCGCTTTAAAACTGAAATGCTCAACAAAAATTCTTATAGCAAATTTTTTTTTTTTTTTGTTCTTTAATTTTATAACTTTGTGATTTAACAAATATTCGTTAACAATTTATATATATATATATATATATATATATGTATATATATATATATATATATATATATATATATATATATATATATATATATATATATATATATATATATATATATATATATATATATATATATATATATATACACACGATCGTTATTAAGAAATAAGAGAACGCGGAAACCGTAGAAGACCGTAAGGTCTTCTACGAGTTCCCGCGTTCTTAACACCTGGAACCGCTAATAAAAGTTTTCGTATTAACATTTCGGATTTATAAAATATTCTCAAAATAAATAAATAAATAAACTTTCTTTAAGAATATTTATTTAATATACTTGAAGATAAGAAATAATTAAGAATATAAAAGCATAAACAAATTTAAAGAAAAAAAGAAAAAAGGTTCCGTTATAAATACATAAATGCGTTATACAGTTTTAAGATACAAAAGTGTTAAACAACAATTTACAAACTGTTAAATTATAAATTTTATTAATGCAGTGTTTAATATCAAGTTAAAAAAGAAACAAAAAAATGAAAGAATATAGATATATCATCTAATAAAAAAATGACTTTTTAAAGTTTTTGTTTGAAAGAGTGCAAGCTAACCTTTGGGATTGTCCATAAATTATGCAACCCAAAAAATATTTTAAAAACAGAAGTAGGAGATAATAAGCTCGAAGTAGGAAATAAGAAGAAGTAGGAGATAATAAGAAGTAGGAGATAATAAGAAGTAGGAGATAGGAGTAGGAGATAATAAGAAGTAGGAGCTCTTTTACGCGGCGATTTCCATTTAACTTAATTTCCTTATTTATCTTAATTTATTCAAATTAAGACTTGTTTTATTGAATTAATTTAACTTATTTATTTAAATTATTTAATTTTTATTTAACTTAATTATTTATTTAAATTCAGACTCTGCAATTGAAAAGTTATGATCTTTTTTTTGTTTTATTTATTGAGAAATTTTGCGTTACGTAATTTATGGACGATCCCTTTTGAGAAAAGTCAAAATTCTTTAAAACTATTTTATTCCAAAGTAATGCACCTCGAAATAAAATACATTAATTTATAGTATTAGTTTGATAAGCTGATTGACGAATGTCGTTATCATTTCGTATGTATTTAGTTTTTTCTTTTTTGTTAAACAAATTATGAAAAGGTAGAGGAGAAATAGTGTTTTTACATTTAAACATAAAGCACATAACGTTAAAAAATGTTAGGCTTATATATATATTTAAAAGTTTCACTTCAATTAATAGAGGCTTGACATAAGTAAATCGATCCTTAAAATTAATAAGGCGTCCAACATGTTTCTGTTGACGATAAAGAGGCTCCAGTTTACTTTTATTAGTACTACCCCACGCAATTTTGGCATAGTTTTTTGGACAATGAATGAGCGAATAATATAGTTTAAGTAATGTATGTTTATTTAAAAAACTCTTTGCTTTGTATAAAATTCCTATGCTTTTTGATATTTTACTACTCAAATTTTTTATGTGATTTTTCCATGACAAATTTTCATCGATATAAATACCAAGAAAGTTGGTAACTGTTACTTTTTTGTAACAGTTACTGAAGTAATTGATAACATACTTCAAAAATTGTTACAGTTTTGTAACAGTTTTTGAAGTATGTTATCAATAAAAAGCGGTGGCATCCACTTTGGTATAAAATTTTTATTGTGATTTGGATGGAAAAAAATCCATTTTTTTGGGTTGTTTATACTTTATATGGGTTGTTTATACTGTCGTGTATTTTTGTGTAATGTTTATAATGTCTTTTTGTTTTTCTTTGTGTTTTTGTGTATTTTTTTATATTGTCGTGTATTTCTATGTTTTGTTTATACCTTTGTGTAATTTTGTGCATTTTTTATATAAACGTGTATACTCGTGTATCTTTTATGTTGACGAGCATTTTTTGGTGATTTTGTTGATAATTTTTTTTTATTATTGTTGCTTTTTATGTTTGTTGCTATTTATTCATGTTATTTCATGTTTTTTGTCTCATCATAGTATTTAAAAACATCTTATTCTTTAGTTTTTTTATTTTCTTCATCATTTTTATGATCCTTCTGATCGTCAAACGTTGTGTTATCTCATTCATTCGTTATCTATCATGTCAGTTTATTCACTTTTCCCCTTTTTTGTGTTATTTTTCTTGCTTTTTTATATATTTTTTTTTCGTTTTTTTATTTTGTTTAATTTTATTTTGATCACTATCTCCATTACTTTTTTTTTGCTTTATTTGTTTATTTTATTAAGGTGTCACTCCAATGACTAGTTTTTAACTATATGAGTGACACCTGCCTAATTTTTGTGAAATTATAAATCACTTTGTAATTATTTCAACTTTATGGTTAAATAAATAGATTTATGGAGATTTTTGATGTAAAAAATAAAGAAAAGAGGCCCTAATATTAATCCCTGAGGAACTCCACAAAGTATATTTTAGCAAGCTTACTGATGGAACTACATCAACGTATACAAATTGCTTTCGATTATTTAAATAGCTTTTTACCCAATTTAAAACACTTTCTTTTATACCGTAAATCTTTAGTTTATTTAAGAGAATATTGTGGTTTATTGTATCGAAAGCTTTAGCTAAGGTGATAAAAACCCCAACTGTATATTGGGAGTTTTTAAAAGAGTTAGTAATACTTCTCGTAAACTAGAGAACTGCGTGTTCTGTTGAGTTATTTTTTTTTGAATTCATATTAATTGCTATACATTAAATTGTTTAAAAATAAATGCTTATGATTTTTGTTGTATAAAATTCTCTCCAGACTTTTGAAAATGCAGATAGAATAGAAATGGGACAATAGTTGCTAACTTTAAATAAATCACCTCCCTTAAATATCGGAATCACCTTTGCTATTTTTAGTTGGTTATGTAAAATTCCTTGCCTAAAAGAACAAGAAAAAATCTTAAAAAGTACGTCTTTAATGATTTCATATGATTTACCAGTTTTTACATCCATTTAAAACAAATATGACATCCATTTAAAACAACTATGACATTTATTTAAAACATCGTGACAATCAATTTAAACAATCGTGAAACATTTAACGCATGCGCAATCTCAACATTATATATTGTTCAAAAAAAAAAGGTTTTTTTTATATATTTATTTGTTTAAATTTATTTTTTATTAGTATTATATTAATTTAATTGAATTTATTTTAATTTTAAACGGATGACATATTTAATTTAAATGGATGCAAAACCCAAAAAATGAATGTAGCCTTACTTAAAAAATACACTGAGAGGAGAGATGTGTATTGTTTAAAAAAAAGAATATGGGAATGATGTCACAGAAAATATACGAGCAATGAAGTATTAATGAAAAAGAAGAAAAATTGTCCAATTGGATATTTGATCCAATGAAGAACGCCTTATCCAAAGCAGCTAAACGCGCAGTTCCCAGTAAGCAGACACTATTTGGCGCAATAGCAAACCAGGCTAGGCTGCCGAGCTGTGCCAGGCCTGGCATGCCAGCCTATGCCAGCGCCGGGTTGTCAACTGGTTTTGCAAAGAGCCGGTATACGAAAGCCAGTGGTGGCGCAGCAACGTTTTGCTAGTGGCAAGCCAAATTTGTATAGTGGGCGTTTAGTTGCACTAAACGCCCACTATACAAAATTGTCCAATTAAATTATTTTTTTTATCAATTTTTACTAATTTTACTTAACTATTTTAATTATAATATATATATATATAAAAGGCCGGCGCGATAGGGGTGCAACCCCCCCCCCCATCAATGATTTTTAGTCGGCAAATTAAACCCTTAGTCGGCAAATTGGACCCTTTTAGACTAGTTAGTCGGCAAATGTCGACCCTTTCGATATAAGTTAGTCGGTAATCTAGACAGTCGGCAAATGTCGTCATGGCAGTCGGCAAATTTTGGAAAACGAGGACCTTTTGTTTTTTTTGTCGGCAAAATGTAATGGCACCCCCCCCCCCCCCCACGTGACACCAACTCGTGCCGGCCATGTATATATATATATATGTATATATATATACATATATATATATATACATATATTTATACTTTTTTTGTTATGAATATGATTAAGTACTAATAAATATTAAATTACAGTATAAAAGAATCAGCGGATCAGTGGCCTCTGTATTTATTTATATATATATATATATATATATATATATATATATATATATATATATATATATATATATATATATATATATATATATATATATATATGTATATATATATATATATATATATATATATATATATATATATATATATATATATATATATATATATATACATATATTTATACTTTTTTTGTTATGAATATGATTAAGTACTAATAAATATTAAATTACAGTATAAAAGAATCAGCGGATCAGTGGCCTCTGTATTTATTTATTTGATAATTATATTTTGAATTGTTTATACTTATTTTAAGACGTAAATAGTTCCCTCTTTAAAAGCTGACCCAATAAGCATTAGACGTGTTTAACACTTGTTAAAACGTATTATTGCGTTTTAATAACGTTTTAATACGTTTTATCATGTTAAAAACGGCTTGTGCTAGTAAGGGAGAAGAATATAACCTTCTCTGAGACACTAATAAATCTCTCTGCTAAACTGTTTGTTGATCTATTAACTTCTCACTGCGAATATATCTTATATATAAAAATAAAATTCTATTGATATACTATTCACAAGCGCGTCGTAATCGCTATTCGAATGTAGGCATTTTCTTCCTAGCGAGTTGAAAGGCATGAATTACAACACGCACATGTAGTCTTGTTAACTGTTAAAAAATATAGTTAAATATTTTATCAAATTGTATTTGATTCAAAATGCTAGCAATATTTATTACAACCAAAAAATAATTTATTTTTATCTGTCAATTTTTCAAACTTCTAGTAAAACTGGAACGAAATACAAATTGCAGCTATTGATAAAAAAAATGTTATACCATTTTTCAAATGTAACTTGATGTCACCTTGACTTGAAAAGTTTTTACTACACAACACTTCTTACTAAACTCGAACTGTTCAACACCGTCAACAATTCTTAGTGGGATATTTATATCAGAGTGTTCCTTCTTTTTAAAGGGTTGGTTAAAGGATTATAGAAAAATCAATTAATGATGTTATAAAACCTGCCCAGAGGATTTTATAACATCAGGAAGGTAGGAGGTGTGAAGTTCCTTTTTAATTATTAATTGATTTTTCTATAACCCTTTAAATAACCCTTTAAAAAGAAGGAATTTTTTGATATAAATATTCCAGACACTTTTTTGACTAGTTAGTCGGCGAATGTAGACTCTGTCAATAGGTTAATTGGTAAAGTCAGTCGGCAAATGTCGTTATGGCAGTCGGTAAATTTTAAAAAACAAGGACTTTTTTTTTTTTTAGACGGCAAAAGTTGTAATAGCACCCCCCCCCCCCACTTGACCCCTACTCGCGACGGCCCTGCCTCTAGCTCTTGTTGCTTGATTACCCTCTCCCTTTCCTTTTTTCCAACAATACTAATCACTAATCTGCCGCTGTTTTTTGTTCAAATTTTTAAATTATTACTATGCTCTTCAATTATGGTAAAAAATGGATTTCAATTGCCAAGAAGGTTGACGTCTCTGCAATAAATTATATATTGTATTAGCAAATTATAAAAAAACTTAGTTCATTTATAAAATCATTTATTTATTAAATTATTTTTTCTTTAGTTTATACATCTCCAACTGTTGGTGAACTTACCCAAGATCAATATACACAAAACTTTATATACAGTTATATACCAAGAGTGTGTTTTCAGGCATATTCACCTTCTTGTCCACCATCCTACGAAAGTATCCTTTTGACAGCTGATGAACCGAGTCAAGGATTAATTATTGAATCTGAAGTACGGTGTTTACGTATTCTACCGCCATACGAAGAAGTAGCACAACGAATTAACTCCAATTCGTTGCCGTTGCATGAAGATACATTGCCATCATGTGAAAATACATTGCCATCATATGAAGAAACAACGAGAATTGTTCCGCTAAACACTTCGACTGCAATTCTCTGTTGAAAAAATTTGAATTTGAAAGAGCTGAATGCTTTTTCTTAATTAAATATATTTACAAATATTTCCATTAATTCTACATATAATATAAACTATGTTTTTGATACAACAGACAAAAAAATATGAAGTATAAAATTAGTTATATATTAAATATTGAAAAATAGTAATGAACCTTATCTAAATACTAATCTTTACAATAACTATATACTTCTCAATATATATTACCTATATACCTCTCAATACATACTACATAGCTACACTATATATCTGTAATGATTGACATATAGATAGATTGGAACGAATATAGCCATTTACACATTACATACTAAATATCTTCTAATCTGTCGCATTATGCGCCTACTAGATAATGCATACATTTGTTAAAAAAAACTGATCATTGCAAAGATCATGATTTTTTCCAATGTTTTACATAAATTTTAAAAAACTAAATTAATATATATATATATATTTTTTTCTGTTTAAAAAATCTGTTATAATATTTTCTATTTAAATATAATAATAGGTTATAACTGAACTTTTTTGATCGCATTTATTCTAAACTTTTATCAAATTTTGAAATAGATATTTATTGTATTATTTATAACTATTAAATTATATTGTTGTACTAAATTTTTTTCGTTATTTTTACTAAAACTTTTAATAACTTTTAATAAATTTAATCAGGGTTATAATTAAGTATCAATTTTGATAACACTTATACAGAAGTTTCTCTGTTTAAATCACTGATCTCGAAATAATAACTGGATAGCGTATTCTATTGTTTTTCGTAAGTTGAAGCCAATTTTGGCCTACCAAGATGGCGTCGGTTAGAACTGTTAGCGGTTTGAATCATATAAAAATTCTGACCGAATAAGAAAAGTAAACTATTTTTAAGGAAAATAAGATAACGAAATAAATTTATTTGATTCTTAATTATTAAAATATTCAGCTAGTGTACACTTTTTACATGAGGTTTATAATTTATGTACCTTTTAGTTCTTAATTACCCAATGCTGTGTGCTAGAAGGTTAATAACACAACTGTATGGCAAGCAGCAACGTTGTCTACCTACAATCTTTAAAAAATTTTACAATCGTGAGTTTTATAGGTAGAAACATTATTGTACAAATGCTGTATGAACTATTAGCTGAGAACTGTGAGTACACAGAACTCAGAGGTTCTTTCTAGGATCATAAAAGTCATTTTATTATTTAATACATTAACTTTCTGGACTCAATAATTAGTGAAAATATAAAACAATAGTTTTATTCCAAAGTAAAAAATAATCTCTCAATGACTTAGATTTAAAGTCATTGTTAAACTCAACTTTCAAACTTTGACAAAGTTTGAAGGATAATTATTGACAGTTATTAACAACACATACATAGTATGTAAAGATGTAACATGTATGTTACATGTATACATACTATGTAAAAGTATATTTTTGAATAATGTATTTTTATTAGATTATTTAGTCAACATTACAATAAAAAATTACTTTAACATAGTTATATTACAACCACTGATCTCAAAATAATAACATTTTGAGGTCTGTATTACAGCACTATTATTTTCAAGTGTTTATATTATATTATTACTATGCAGCATCTTTGGATGCAAAAATAGTACTGGATTAAAAAACAGTGATCACAATTCAAAAGAAAAGTTTTCATTTCACAGGTGGGTGAAATTTATTACATTTTATTAAAAATAAATTCTCTAGAGGAGGTTTGGTTAAACCAAGCAAAAGTGTTGTTTTGGTATGCGAAGGAACAGAAAGATGTTTCCAAAAGTTTTTTGCATCAACAAATATTACCCTGCTAAATGATATAGGAATAACTGATAATCATTTATTTTCACTAATTAAAGTTATTTCAAAAAAATACTCAAAAACACACTTTCATCACCTACGCAAAGAAGTAACTAACAAATTGACTGGAAACAAGTTTAGGAAGCAGTTGACTAAATTTTTTTTATTCAAAAATCAGTGAAAACATTTGTTTTTAGTATACCATATATACACTGTAAACTCCTGATAACTCTAACTTTAAAAAAATTGAATTTCCAGTATTTGCTAGGACACTTAAAGGTTACAAGTTATCAGGAGTTAGAAATGCATATATATAATATAGATACAAACATTTATATATATATATATATATATATATATATATATATATATACGTATATGTATATATATATATATATATATATATATATATATATATATATATATATATATATATATATCTATATGTATATGTATATATATATATATGTATATATATATATATATATATATATATATATATATATATATATATATATATATATATATATATATATATATATATATATATATATATATATATATAAGGTACATAAATTGGTTATTAAATTTTTTTAAAGGATTTTATTTATCTTATAATAAAATATATTTATACATATTCATAAAATATGTATATATATCGCCTAATATAAATATTATTTATCTTAATATATATATATGTATATAAATATATATATATATATATTAGGTACGCGGAAATCCGTGTTTTACGAAACCGAATTTTGTGCTAAAATTTTGTGCCAGGTTTTTTGAACTTTTTTTTAGGTAACGTCAGGCAAACGTTTTTTTGTGGCGTTTCTGTTTAGAAACATTACTAAACTTAGATTATTTTTGAAAAAAAGAATAGTTAAACTTGAATAATATATAACATTTATGTGTGGTTAGTAATTTTTGTATTGCTTTTATTTGTATTAAAAACTTGGTTGTTGTTCTCACATTAAAATATTGTCGAAGAAATGCTCAGATAGTTTGCAAACCTATCCAGATACCAAATTTCTATCATATCTACATACCAAATTTCACTGAAAAATATTATTGAGCAGATAGCCTATAAAAGTGAGCAGTTTTGGTACCTCATTTCTGTTTTTCTGATTTCTGTAAGTGGGTGGTAAGAGGGGTACGAACAAGTTGAATTTTATTAGGTTAGTTTATGTTATATGTATAATATATATATATATATATATATATATACATATATATATATATATATATATATATATATATATACATATATATATATATATATATATATATATATATATATATATATATATATATATATATATATATATATATATATATATATATGTATGTATGTATTTTTTTTTTTAAATAAAATAAACTAGTAAAAATATACAAACTAATATTAATTAATATAAAAAATGTAATAAATTACTGCAAAAAATAAATATTTATATATATATATATATATATATATATATATATATATATATATATATATATATATATATATATATATATATTATATATATATATATATATATATATATATATATATATATATATATATATATATATATATATATATATATATATATATATATATATATTTATATATATATATATATATATATATATATATATATATATATATGTATGTATTTTTTTTTTAAATAAAATAAACTAGTAAAAATATACAAACTAATATTAATTAATATAAAAAATGTAATAAATTACTGCAAAAAATAAATATTTATATATATATATATATATATATATATATATATATATATATATATATATATATATATATATATATATATATATATATATATATATATATATATATATATATATATATATATATATATATATATATATATATATATATATATATATATGTATGTATGTATTTTTTTTTTTAAATAAAATAAACTAGTAAAAATATACAAACTAATATTAATTAATATAAAAAATGTAATAAATTACTGCAAAAAATAAATATTTATATATATATATATATATATATATATATATATATATATATATATATATATATATATATATATATATATATATATATATATATATATATATATATATTTATATATATATATATATATATATATATATATATATATATATATATATATATATATATATGTATGTATGTATGTATTTTTTTTTTAAAATAAAATAAACTAGTAAAAATATACAAACTAATATTAATTAATATAAAAAATGTAATAAATTACTGCAAAAAATAAATATTTATATATATATATATATATATATATATATATATATATATATATATATATATATATATATATATATATATATATATATATATATATATATATATATATATATATATATATATATGTATGTATGTATTTTTTTTTTTTTAAATAAAATAAACTAGTAAAAATATACAATGAAATGAGGTGTTTAATTACAATGAAATTAAGTGTTTAAATACATCGTCTATCAAACAACTTCATGACTAAGATGGTGTAATGTCATGACTAAGATGATGTAATGTCAGATAGAATTGTTGGGCAAAAACTTTGCCATGAATGGTACTAAGTGAGTATTCGAAGTATGCCATTTATGATGGTAGAGAAAAAAAACTTGATAAAACAAAACAAGACACAGTTTACACGAATTCTTACTAGAATAAAGGTAATACTGATACTGAAGCTGTTGACTACAACATGAAAAAATTTCAGCTTCCGCTGATGTTGGACCAGGAGAGTTGATTTTTTTTTGAAGTGTAATATGTAACAAATTATGATATTACTTGTAATGAAGCTTTAAAAATAGATACTGCAAGTGATGAAACATACAAAACAGATACGGCATATGATGAAACTTGTATAAAGGTATTGCAAGTAATAAAGCTTAAAGAAATAGTCATATCAAGTCAGGTATGCCTGGTATTAAAACATATGTTTTTGTTTTACTTTTTTTTATAAATGTTTTTAGAGAAGAATAAAAGTATTTGACTTGGAATGACCTTTGCACAAGTGTTGTGACTTGCAAAATATTTTGATAGGCGGCTCTGGCTTATCTTCACGTGGTGTCTATTGTTACAAATGATTATTATAGTGTTCCATTTATGAAATTGAATATTTTAATTATTTACTAAAAGCCAAGAAAACTATTTAATCTTAGGATATCTAAAATGTTTTAATACAGAACAATATAAAATTAATTGTTACATTTTTTTTATAGGATACAACACTGATATTTTTGGTAATGAAATAAAATATATTTAATGAAATATCAAAAAATGAAATATACTAATTTATTTTGTTTGTTAAAGATACAATTATTTTTAAGAATTCAACATCTTTTTATTGTAGGTTGTGGGTAACCATTACCACCCTATTCAACAAACTTCTCAACTTAACCAAAATTTACGAATAGCAGCGAAAAGACTTTTTTTTCAAAAGTAGGCTCGGTTGCGGTCTTTATCTTTAGCTTGTAGGTTATACTTGGTGCCAATAGCCTAATTCAGGTTTTAAATTGTTAACTTATTTTAAAATAATTATAATTGTTATTATAAAAATTTATCTATTTTACTTATTTTTATTTTTAGGTTGAAGGGGGGGGGGGGGGACACGCTCCTCCCACAAGTCTATAAACACACCATCAATAAATGAAATTCTTGTAACAAAAAAAAAATTTCATGTTTTTTATACTAGTTTCACTTATTTTATTAAATATAGAAATATTTATTTATAATTAGAGAATTGAATATTTTTGAAATTAGGGTGTGTTAAACCATCACCACCATATCCATCATCAACTTTAATAAACATCAATCATTGATGGTTTGGAATAAAATTATAGCAACTTTTTGTATAAAAAAAATAACCGTTTGTTGAAAAAAAACACTTTTTATTGAAAGAAATATGGTGAAGGTGATAGTTCGGCACCCCCTCTAGCCCCTAGGAAACGCCCAATAGGTGGACGATGTTATAAATTTGTAGCCCACAGTTACACCTATCTTTTGATACTAAGTTATAGGTATTTAGATAAGAATTGACAAATTTATAACAATTTAAGTGAAGAAAAATTAAATTTTGACCACAGTTTCTTCAACAAATCCATATATCAAAAATTTGCGACTAAAAACGTCATAACTTTTTGTAGAATAGTCCGATTTTAATAATTTTTTCACCTTTAAAATACTGTATTAAAGCACTTTCCAATGATATATAACAATCTAACCTTTGATCAATTTAAAATTTTCAATCCACATACCTATATATATATATATATATATATATATATATATATATATATATATATATATATATATATATATATATATATATAATTTATTGCTGCAAAAGTTGATGAGAAATGTTTTAGATTATTTTAGAATTGTTTTTGAAAACAGTTTCAAAGAAATGTCTTGTGTAATTTTTTCTTATTTAACTTTACAAGTATATGATAACTATCATAAATAATATTTATTTTAATAATATTTAAACCCTGAATAATGTTTTTTTTTTTTAGTTTTATTAATATAATAAAAACAAAATAAATATTATTTAGGGTTTATTCATTTAGGACTAATGCAACGTTTATAGGTATTTCTAAAAAGGCTTTTCTTTTTATAAGTTATTTACAAAGGCTATCAGAACAACTTATATACTTTATTACCATATTTTAGAAAAAGCTTGTCAAATTAATATTCTACACAAACAGAGTGCTCCTGATTAAAAAAACTTTTCAAAAATAAGAATAAACAACCCCATTATGATATATAATTAATCGTATAACTATGTGCATAATTGTTTTTTTAACTACAGGTTTAATAGTAAGTTTTTTTTTTTATCATTATTTAGTAATTATAAGTAAAAATTTGTATTTCTAAGTAAATATTCCTTTATGATTATACAGATCATTATATAGATTCGTATATCATTATATAAATCAACGTCAGTGTTGATTTTCTTTATCATGATTATACAAAAACTATGTCTTCAGTTTTCAAAAAGATTTTAATTATCGCTATACACAAGATAAAATTCACATTATCGCTATACACGAGATAAAATTCACATTATCACTATACACGAGATAAAATTCACATTATCACTATACACGAGATAAAATTCACAATAATTGAAAAAAAAGTACACAACAATAGACGAAAAAAAAAATTTTCAAAGTTTCCGGCAAAAATTGTTTTAGTGGATTTGCAGTGCACCTATATAAGCATTTTTAGTGGTTCATTGGAGTTTTGCTCATTGGTTACTTAGTGAAACATTATTGGCACCCGCTATAAATGAAAAACCAATAACTTTCCGACATGTTAATGGTGGCTAGTCATTGGCTATCCACTTTTTGCGGCTGCCGCTAATGATTGACTAAGTAACCGGTTTTGTAGCAAAACTACAGTGGACAGCTCAAAATGCCTATATGGGTTCACTAAAATTCCGCTATAAAATGTTTGCTTGGGTGTACATCTAGCAAACATTCTATAGGGGGATTCTAGTGGACTGTACTTTTGCTTGGTTACTTGGTTACTTAGAGGATCATTAAAAATCAGCCGCCAAAAGTGGCTAACCGATGACTAGCTAATACTAGTATGTCGGAAATTTTTTTCATTTTATATTTTATTAAATATCTTTACTTCCAACAAGGCTGCAAGAAACCACTATTAGAGTTGGAAGTTACTGGTAGAGAAAAGATAAACTTTATAGAGCAAGATAACGATTAACAGACAACTTGAAAGATTGAAAACTATATGAATAAGGAAAACAAGATAAAAGGAGTGAATTCTAAAGAACTCATGTTTAAGGAAAAAAACTAGACGAATAAAATTTTTTTGAGCATTTCAGAAAATTCACAATGAAAGGTTAAGACTTAATTAAATAAAAATAACACGAGAATACATTTTGATAGAGGCACAAGAGACGCTAGCTCTTTAAACCGTTGCCCATGTATTATAGAAAGTTTTTATAGAAAAAATAAAGAGAAGCAAACTTACGACGATGTGACAATGGTTGGAGGCTGCAAAAGCAGATCCAAGTATGTTTACAATGCGTTTTTGCACCTTGTCTAAAAGAGAAAGTTTTATCGGAAAAAAACTAAAGTTCCATATAAAACAGAATTCCACTACCACGATAGCTATAACCAGTAAATAGCGCCATTATGGCTATAACGAACTAAATAACAGCTATATGGTAACTATTTAAACACTAGTGTTTATTAAATTTTTTTGTTATTGAATAAAATTTTTGAATAAACAGAGTTTTGCTGATGTTGTTGAAAATATATAAAAACATAAATGTATTTGTGAACATGAAAAAAATAAGCGGTATAGTAAATACAAAACGGTAAAGATCTTAAAAGTATAAGTTTTAATACATAGTCGGTATTATTTGTAATTGCCATTTGATCAAAGATCATTATTCGAAGATCCGCCCCAGATATGGCAACAGTATTCCATACTAGGAAGGATTTATAGAGATAAAGAATAAAATCCTGGGTAAAAAAGTGGGGAGCACAATAAAGATATGCAACCTTAGAAGATGCAGATGATTTTTAAAACAATAAAGATATGCAACCTTAGAAGATGCAGAAGATGCTTAATATTGCAGTCATTTTGGTATTTGGTTTCCAAGAAATATTGGAAGTAAGAGTTAATCCTAGAAGATGAACGGTAGATGACTCATTGAGTACATTACCGTTCATGAATATAGGAATATCTAGATTATTGCGATAACGATTTGCTGAAAAAAATTTATTTTTACTGATTTCAAGTTTACCATCCACTGAGAGCCCCATGCTGCAGCAAAAGTGAGATCTTTTTCAAGCTAAAATGCCCCCTCCAAACAATCAGAGAGTGTTCGCTTTTTATCAAGACAAGAATAAATGCAAGTAACATCAGCAAACATGGCCGCAAAATGTATATGAGAATTTCTGGGAGATCAATAATGTAAATTAAAAAGCGTATTGGATCAAGGATAGAATCTTGAGGAACCTCTGAACTTAAAAGATATAAAGAAGAGTGCTGTCCATTGAGGACAACTTTTTTACTACGATTAGTTAAAAAGATTCAATATTCTTAAAGATGTTACCTGATACACCGTAAGAAGTAAGGTTTTGGAGAAGACCAGCATGCCAAACTTTATCAAAGACTTTAGAAATATTAAGATATTTAACAAAATCTTAACCTCTCCACATCTATCTAACGCACATATAAAACCTATTGGTTCTTTTTGTTGATAAATCAACAATAGAACAAGAAGATTGAAATCCATTTTAATCATCCGTCATTAAGTTATTAGATTCAAAACGAGAGATTGAGCGTTTGTTAATTAAAGACTCAAAAACCTTGCTAACGATAGTAAAAAGACTAATAGGACGGTAAATAGACAAGTAGGATTGCTCTCCAGAATTTTGGAAAATAGGGATAACAGATGCTACCTTCCAGGATGCTGGAAAACAAGACTCCGATATGCTCTTTTTAAACAGTTTTGAAAGTATTGAAGACAGCTACGGAGAACTTTCCTGTAAGATTATAACCGAATTACGTCCAAATCTCAAGCTGTAAAAGAGTGAATCAGAAAATTACTTTAAATACAGAAGCTGGAGCAATACAAACATCAAACAATGGATCAACCTGTTTATCGGCTATATCAGGTAAAACGCGATTAGTGGATTCAAGAGATGATATTCTTAGTAAAAATTGCACCATTATCTTTAGGTGAGGTGACAAAATCTAAACCATACGAGAAAGGTGGAATAACAATTTTGCCTTTATTATATATATTGTTAAAAATTCTCCAGAAGTCACGAGAGCCTAATTTTTGAGATGAAATACAAGATTGTAACCTAAGAATAGCAGGCTTTGGCATTAGAAAAACCCTTTTTACAATTGTTTATAGCAGTAGGAAACAGACGTCTATTTTTTGGAGAACTGTTTTGCTGATAGATATAAAAGTAATTACAATTAGTAGTTACGATTGGAAATTACAGCAGCTCAATGAGAAGAAAACCATGGAAAGGAGTGAGGTTGGACTTGGAATTGTCAAGAGGGAATAAAAAATTCCATGCAAACCTGAACTCAAAAGGTTATATAAAAAACACATTTATGAACAGTAAGACAATAGATTTCTATAAAGAAAATGACGGAAAGAGTTCCAACCAGCTTCAAGGTAGTTGTAAGAGGTACAATGATAGCGGGTTTCTTATGCTATAGAAGAATGAGATAATAGTTTTAGAGAGATCAAACCGTGATGAGAAGCACCAAGGTTAAATGTAAAAAAACAGAACACTGACTAGAATCAGAAACAAGATATAAGTTGAGTTGATTAGGTAAATGATTTGGATTTGTCTGGGAAGCAAGTTGGAAATATGACTAATTGTGTCAAAGATTAAGAAAGGCAAAAGTTGTGGGCTTTAACGCCTGCAGAGTCACTTACTGTAGAGCCAAAATGTTCAGTGTGATGAGCATTAAACTCATCAACAACTACAATATTTTCTGGAGGATAAAGAGAAAAGGCCAAGTCAATTTGATCAGAAATAACATCAAAAAAAGTGCAGTTTTTAGATGAAGGAGTGTTATATAGAATACAGAGAAAAGGCAATAGAGTGAAGTGGTGCTTAACAAAAGGCCA